TTCTCCTAACACATGAGCACTAATTCTTAGTTTGGTCATGGATGTCCTGTGGAAGGGATTTTGCACAGTTTCTAAATATTTTTCAAAAGTGAATTTTGTTTTTAGATGTCTGTATGTGCAAGGTTTATTCTGATGTTTTGTTCCCTTATTATCATCATACATTGAATCTAAACAGTATGTTTGAAAGTTGGCTGCAAGCTTTTCAGAGACTGATTTATTCAGCTTCTCATCCTTGTAATGGTTCATTGCTGTACACTGATAGAAATGTTATTTCTAAATACGCAATAAAACATTATTATTATCATGATATGTATTCACAGGCCATTATGGGGGTTTTCGTTCTATTTGGGTAGTCCAAAATAGAACGGACATTGTGCATGTTTGCATTAAGGTATAAAGTAGAGGCACAACACATGGTTGAAGGATTATTATTGTTAATAAATCTCTGTTTACAGGATATATTTATAAATACACAAATATATTGTACATTCATTAGAAAGAGTGTCAATCTACACTTATTTTAATTATAATACTTTTATACTGCGCAGAATTTTTCAAAACTCAGGTCACAAAGTTTTTGTCACATAATTTTGTACACCAATTTCCTATTTCTAGTTGAGCTGTTATTCTGTCGCAGTATTTCTTTATCAGGGCACATACATCTTTGTTGAGTCAGAAATTAAAAATTATGATGCAATGAAATGAAATGCTGTATGAAGAAGGCAATATAGGCTTTGATTTTGGTCGGATGCATTTACATTGTCAGGGCCATGTTGGAGCCCAGTCCTGTCAGCTCAATCCTATATTTATTTACACTTGGTGGCTTCAATAAAATGTTGACATGTAAATGAGTTATATTTCTACAATCACTTTTGTGTAGTCTAGGATATATATTATGATTAAGACAGGTCTTTTATTTTTTATCAATTTCAATCATATTGTTTTGTCTTTTTAAGTATCTGTTGTTGTTTCAAGGATTTCTGAGATAAAGGTTGTAGCTGTTCTGTTGTAATCTGCGATGAAGTCATGTGAATTGTAAGATAATCACAAAATCATTTCACAAACATTTCTAGAAATACTCGTGCAAATATGTGAGTCTGATAAAGAACTGACTCAGTGTTTGGCTCAGAAAAAATGTTTTATTGTTGAGTACTGTAAAATACTTTATTACGGTAGTCCCCATTCGAACGAAGTCCGAAAACGGGGACTTATAATTCGTCTCTGTCCGTCCGTGCGTCCGTCTGGAGTCATATCTCAGAATCCCTTGGACCGATTCCGTTCATTCTTTGCATGTGCCGAGTACCTTATGTGGGACATATGCACATGCAGTGGTTTAGCGATTCAATTCAGCCGACTGGCAGCCATCTTGTTTTTTGAAAATGTTGTATTTTGGACATGCTTTGTCAGTTGTCATTCAAACTTGGTACATAGATCATACATGTTAGGATACATGTCCATGACGATTTATTTCGCAATTGGATCAAAGATGGTTGACTGGCAGGCATCTTGTTTGTTTTTTTATGCGGTATCTTGGACGTGCTCTGTCAGTTTTCATTCAAATTTGGCACATACATGTACTTTATACATGTTAGGATGCATGTCCATGACAATTTGTTTCAAAATCTGGTCAAGGATGGCCGATTGACAGCCATCTGACTTTTTGGCCTTACTATTATATTTCCACAATTTATGTACCATTTTCATTCGTATTTAGCACAAACATCATACATATCAGTGTGTTTCATAATCAGATCAAAGATGGCTGAATAACGGCTGTTTCTATTTTGGCCATATTACTACATGTATGACACGGAACACGTGTTTTGATGTAAATAAACAATCTGTTGTATACGTCACTTGGAACTCAAGTTCAAGGACAGGCTCGCGACAACCCCTCGGCTTTAATAATATGACGAGCACAAAGAGAACTTAACGGGGACTGTGTCATTTTCAATGACTTGTTTTAGCTGGAATTAATTTTTGCTGAAAAGACTTTTTTGGGTGTTTTGTATTTAGTTTATTTTCACTGATTTTTGTTTAGTTGAATATAAAATATAGAAAAAAAAAAAGTTTATTGTCTGGCACTGTATTTATTACATTCCACTAGAAAATGAACTTCATCTCCAAAACAGATTTATCATTTAGGATGTAGTAGAGGCTATTGCAATTGCATAGCATATTTCTGGAGTATATTTCATGTTCTTTGAATCCCATCAAGTTGTATATTTTTAGAAAGCTTATTTTTCAAATAATATGAAATAAATATTCCAACAAAAAAATTGAACCGTGTAATCATGTGATATGTGCAAATATAGAGGTGTTATTTTTGAAGAAACTGAAATAAGACCACAGAAATGATGTTCGCAACACTTAGAGATACTGTAAAGTGTTTGAATATAATTTCACAGTTTGTCTACTGTTGCGTGACCTAGATTTCGACCTCATAACACTTTTTAAAAACATTGTCAACGTTGTTTTGTTCACAAACGGGAGAGTTGTGTTGTATTCTCTAAAGTCAAAGTGGTAGACAAACTATCTTTGCCAGATTTCATTAGCAGCTATCAGAGAATACCTATGCCAAAAATCACCATCGTGGAGCAGGTGTGAGTCGAGATCAACTCTCTAGACTAACCCCAAATACCAATGTTTTCTTATGCGTGAAAAGTCACAAAAAAACATAAAACACGCTGTATTTCAAATTTGGCCAAAATGTATCTACATGCCAGGCAATAATGATTATATTAATTAATAAATTGATTAACCTTAATTGAGGTTATATTCAAATCTATATTTATATACTCAGATAAATCTAACATATCAATGCTATGTTAACCTGACCAGTATGTGATATTTTATGTTACAGTCATACCTGTGTCAACGACCACCTGCTCATAGCGACCACCTTAGTACCTTAGTACAGTCCCTTTGCAATTTACACATTAAAGACACTGGATATAGCGACCACCTGTCCAACGCGACCAGCGACCACCCTATTGTAGACCTATTCACACTTTAATCTTTGTATAACGACCACCAACATTTCCATCAGACTGTCTCAGCAAAAAGACAATAGCTACTTGTGAATCGCCAACAGGAAAGTGGCCATATGTTACGTTCAGATTACCGAGTACGCAATCTTTAGGGCTAATAGACAGGGGTGACCATCGCAACTTGGTTTGTGAAATTGTGAAAAAGTAAAAAAAAAAAAGTTGAATATCATCTGAATGTAATGTCTGGAGACTAGAAAGATTTTAACAACAGAAACAGTTTCATTCAAAGTTCGAAATGAAAAACTAGCTTGTTTCCGATCGGTATTATACTATCGATCCCCAGCCGGCCAGTGGCACTTCTGTGGACTCGCACATGAAGAGCAAATTCCTCCTGTCTCGAAAACAAGAAAAATGAACAAGTTTTATTAAATGAGAGATGTTTTATTTACCTTGTCGACATGAAATATCCAAACAAAATAATAAAACATAGTATAGTTACTGAGGGGGTCATCTCAGGGTTATTCTCAACGAAAGATGTTTTCTATTTTGATCCTCTTTTTTTTTTTTTTTTTTTTTTTATAAACAGTAATATCAATAATTCGCAATCGAGAAAATTTGTTTCGTTTGGGCAGTTTTGACATGCTTGCAACAAATAACTGTAAAATTGCGTGTACGATCATCGTGTTTCATTTCTGGTTCGTTTGACTTTCTGATTCAACACCGAGAGTTGGAGCAATCCCTATGAGTTTGGTAAATTTTGTTTATTACCAATGCTTCTTCATTTTTAATGTTTGTTTGTTTTTTCAAACATGGCAACTTTGCCTGTGCATTTTGTCACAGTGTACAATCGACAATACTAACGATGGGATTGATTACCGTCTGTGATGGAATATGTGTAAGAGACCGGGGAATAAAACTACATGGCGAGAGTGTGAAAGTCCGAGCTGAAACGCCAATGCGGTCGATTGTTGACAATCGTTCTTATGCATTAAATACACCAATGAATTCATGGGCAGAATCACTTGGTTTCAGTGAATTTACATGATATAATTTGTAGTAAAAAAGTAAAGCTGTGTAATTATCCAGATGAAAATGAGTGTTCATTGTACAATGTGTAGGTTTGTTTTTATGTTTTGCTTATGATTCCCCTTAAAATTCATGCCCTAATTAATATTCATGATTGAATGAATAAATTAGGCCACCTCCATATAAAGACCACCTGTCTATAAAGGACAGTTTGGCTCAGTCTACTGACTGTCCTTTATAGACGGGTTTGACTGTATTTCATTAGTGTGTGCCACAGAATATATCAGTAACTATATAAATTGGTGCTGAACAGAGGGGATCAACAAATAATGTATATTGTTTTTATATTCTTTTCTTAGGTTCAAGAGAATACAAGTCAGCAATAGTTGCTACCAGTAAAAAGTTTGCTGCAGCCATTAATTCTGCCATCATTTTGAAAGCTATCCAACAGTTACTGCCATCAGTTAGGGGTCATTTCACTTCCACCAGTTTGAAGCCTATCAGACAATAACTGCCACCAGTTTGAAATGTAGCAGACTGTCACTGCCAAGGTTGAAAGCTTTAGTCTACAATTACTGCCATTTGATTGGAAACTAGTAGACATTATTACTGCTAGTTTGAAACCTAGCTGACAATTACTGCCACCAGTTGAAAACTCTAGAACAGTTACTGCTACCTGTTTGAAAGACCATAACTGCCATCTCCGTGTGAAGACTAAGGACAGTTTAAAGGCCTGGGGATAAGTTTGAAGCATGATTAATAATTTGACAGAAACGACCCTTGTTAGCAAAGATACGCCTGAATGCAGAGTGAAGTTTGATGTAGTAAGTGTTGATACTGATAGCGATGATGATATTAACCAAGATAGTAGTGAAACTCCTTCGTTGCCAAAAACTAACAAAACTGTAAACACAGATGTAGATGCTAAGAATTCATTCTCAGATATAGACTATGGATTACCAATTAAACGACTTAAACAACCACGTGAAATCAAACTCAAACTTTTCGTTTTCTTTTTATTCGTTCTGATTGTTATAATTGTGACTTTAATATGGGTGTTCCATGTACCGAAACTCTTGACATTAACATTAGGTAATGCAAAAATAATTGTTGATTATGGAGAACTTTATGTCAGTTACCATGGGAAGACAGTTTTACAGGGTCGACTGGGAATCAATCAACCTCAGTCTCCACCGTATAGTTGCCATGGAAATGCAGAGAGTGATGACAGAGTGTGCTTGTCATGGAAAAATCATGTTGAATTAAACACTTCATTCTATCAACAAGACTTGACTGATTGTTATGAGATTTTATGGACTTCCTTATCAAAGGATTATGTTCCAAGAGATTGTTTCTCTCTTGCCGGTGCTTATTGGTATGGAGGTGGAGATATCTATGGCCAACAGTGGCCTATTAACAATTTAAATTTTAGTACGAGTCAGTTTTTATCAACAACAGATTTGAAACACAACACAAGAGGCTTTGGTTCTGTTCTTGAGCCCTACTGGTTGTCGTCCTTGGGTGTTGCTATTTATGTTGATGATGTTTCATCGCTTCATGTTAGTATTAATGATAGTATGAGCGGTGAAATCTGTTTTGAGTCAAAGTATGAGAACTCCATGTACATTGTGCCTGAGGACAAACTAGCTACTTTAAAATACAAGTTGTGTGTTAATTCAAATGTGAAAACTACTCATCAGTACATTTCCAAACATTACCTGGGTTCTCCTATCACGCTGTCGAATGAATTTTTGTTGGAGTCACCTGTTTGGTCAACGTCACCATACTACCATACTATCAATCAGTCTATAATACTGGACTATGCTGAGAAAATTGACGCTTACAATTTTAGTAAGAGCCTTCTAGTTATTGATGATGGCTATCTCTGGCGGTATGGAGATACAGAATTTGACCCGGTGGCATTTCCGAACCCCACGGACATGTGCAATCAGCTCCATAATACCGGATTCAATGTATCCGTTTGGATGCATCCCTTTGCTAACACTAATTCCCATGCCTTTAGCGAAGGGTTGCGTCCTGGGTACTGGGTGCACAGTCCTCGTGATAACTCGCCAGCCTTGATCCAATGGTGGAACGGAATTGCCGCATCTTTGCTTGATGTTACCAGCCCAAGTGCAGTGGAATGGTTCCTGAAAAGAATGAATGAAATGAGAGAGACTTATAACATAGATTCATTTCTGTTTGCTGGTGGTGAAGTGTCCTGGCTGCCCGTAGAGTTCAGTACTCATAGGAAGCTGCTTACGCCTACAGGCTATACTACATTATACTCTATGCTGGCTGCTCAATTAGGTAGGAATGTTATGATTACATCAGCTTATCATTCTCAAACGCTGGCATTGTTTTTATCGATGAAGGAAAAAGAAAGCAGCTGGGATACCACCAGTGGATTACAAAGTGTCATTCCCACAGTGTTAACGTATAACATTTTGGGATATCCCTTTATAATGCCAGAGGTGATTGGTGGAAGGGAAAACCAAACATTTGCAGATAGAGAGCTCTACATTCGTTGGCTGGAATTAACCGCTTTCCTACCAGTTATGCATTTCTCACTGCCTCCATGGGAGTATGACCAAGAGGTTGTTGACATTGCTACAAAATGGGTTCAATTTCACAGGGATGTAATCGCTCCCATCATGATAGACCTCGCTGATAATTTCCTTCGTAGTACTGATCCAATAATTCGCCCTCTTTGGTGGGCAAGTCCAACAGACGGAACAGCTCAGCAGATTGACTCAGAGTTTCTGATTGGTGATGACATCGTAGTGGCTCCCATTTTAGAGTTTGGCAGGTACACAAGAGACGTTTACTTGCCAGATGGTATGTGGGTCAATAAACTGACCGGGCAACATATCACAGGGGGTAAATGGTTGACAGTTGTAGTTACATTAGAAAATGTAGCCTATTTCACAAGAGTATCATAGGTTGTAAGATATACCCCTTATCCTGCTACCCCATGTAGATGGACATTGACAGATAAGGGATACAGTAGTTTGTAGAACATTATACTATGTATTTCTATACCATTTATGTCCAATCTGAATTGCATCATGATCTATCAGTGGATATGTCATAATCTACTGGTAATATGCTAATTATACTGATTTATAATTGCCTTAAGCCATAAATCATGTTTTAATTAAACTAAGTATCCTATATATTATATTCAAAGTTTAGTTTCTTTTATAAGCAATACCAGTGTTTAAAATTACTACTTGCCCGAAACAGATAATTTTTCAGTTGGTACGTTAACAATAAAAACTTGCGTGCTTTGTGGGAATATTTTTTTTATTGTCTTCTTCAATAACAATTTTGAAAATACAAGGTTAATAAATAATATTAATTGATAAATTTTTAATGCAATTTTCCTCTCAATTCCAATACAAAAATCATGCAGCAAAGAATACATTAATTTAAAATTGTGAAATTTAAATTATCGGTTGAGTCTGTCAGCGGAATATGAATGTTCTGGCAATTTTGAGAAATTTCAAACACTGGCAATACAACACACACAATACCAGTGTTAGCTATGTGTAGTGATCAACTATACACCAGTAGTGAAACCACACTCATGACAAACTTAAATACCAATAGTTAACCTACCTGTTCACCAATGGTAAAATCTGTGAGTAGCAATGATAAAACTGTACCAGTGATAAATCTACTTGTATATACTAATGATAAACATGCGAGTACCTGTGGTAACCTCCCCCCCCCTCCCCATTTACCAGTGTCAGTGATATATACATGTATATATATTTACCAATCCTGACAAATTGTGCATCGATGATAGTAGTGAAAGTACCAGTGATAAATCTATATGTATATACTAATGTTAAATGTATGTAAATGAGTTCCAGTGATGATCATAATCCACCAATTATAAAACTGTACCAGAATGTACAATAATGTTATTAAATGTAGCTATGTCTATCAAAACAAATGTAAAACCAAACCATTAACCTCACTACACCAGTGGTACATACAACTACATACCGGTAATGATTTTTATGTTTATATTATTTTGTTGTATTTGATTTAACTTCTTAGAACATTTGAGCAGTTAGTTCAGTGATGCAAATTGAACAACAAACAAAAACAAAGTAACATTCTGCTAATATATGTATATGTACTGTGAAATACTTTATTTTTGCTGGAATTAATTTTCCCTGAAAAGGCTTTTTGGGCATTCTTTATGGAATTTATTTTCACTGATTTTTGATGAGTTGAATGTGAAATATAGGAAAAAAAGTATATTCGCTGGATTTTATTTTCCACGAAAATAGCGAAAATAAATTCCAGCGAAAATAAAGTATTCTACAGTCAGGGATTGAAATACCGGTAGAATTTTTTCCCTGCATGCATAGTGTGCATGTTGAATTTGAAATTTACCTGCACTAACTTGTTATGAAATGCACCACTTTTAAAGTTTAAATAAAACTTACGGGTTCTCGATTGATGCGATCACGAAAGAATAGTTTTTTTTTTTTAGTTGTTTCACAATGTTGGCTGAACTTAATTTAGGCTTAGTGAATATAATGAGAAAATGTTGTGTTAATTTCTACATGCACAGTGTGCACATTATATTTTGAGTTTACTTGCACTAGCTAATAATCTATGTGCATAGTACAGCGTGTACCAGAGTATTTCAACCCCTGACAGTATTTTATATATGGTATTCACATCTCAGTGGTCAAGTGTTGGATTTTAAAAATAAACTGCCCTCTGTAGTCAGTTATAGATAATCTTTTGTTTACAAAATGGGTTATGAAACAGTTGGATACAGTGTATTTATATTATTGCTAACACTCAAAGGGACATAGAAAATCATTGAGTTAACTTGTATTTTTTTTCATATATGTACAATTCTAATGCTACTGGGACCTGAAATAATCTTTTATTTTAGACAAGTATCTAGTTACACAGGGTTTGGTAATGATTGATTTTAAGGTTTAATTTTTAAAGTTGATAAAATTAATCTATGCAAATTTAATTCAATAGATTAATAATATTTACAGAATATTTACATGTAAAATATTATTGAGCAATAATTTCCCTTGTGTAGGTAATGCTGCCATCACCTGTCATGCAGTGGTTGCTGCATTGGACTTGTGATCTGTGGTTTCCAGTTCAGATTCTACCTGGGTTTGAGCATCAGGAAGGGGTCATCGGTGAGTGTGCCACACACTTAATTCGAAGGCCAAATCTGTGGAAGAATCTTAGTTTAGTTCCATAGTATCATGAATGATAAGTCGCCTAGCTCCAAATATTTAATAAAATTAGAGTGACTCTTGTATCTCGTGCTGTATATCTGTGCACATTGGGTTTGTATCTGTGTTATGTGCAGTGTAACATTGTGTAGTTAAGTTACCTGTAACTGAAGAGGTTCTGACCAAATTCAATTTTCTTGATATTTTTCTTAATTGGGTCCATTTTTTTGAAATGTGAAACACAAATTATGGTGAGTGGATGAAAACCATCATTTAAATTAATATAAAAAATGGCAAATCTGCGATGAAGTCATGCGAATTGTAAGATAATCACAAAATCATAAAACAAACATTGCTAGAAATACTCATGCAAATATGTGAGTCTGATAAAGAACTGACTCAGTGTTTGGCTCAGAAAAAATGTTTTATTGTTGAGTACTGTAAAATACTTTATTTTAGCTGGAATTAATTTTTGCTGAAAAGACTTTTTGAGTGTTTTGTATGGAATTTATTTTTACTGATTTTTGCTGAAGTTCAAAAAAAAGGTATATTCGCTGGATTTTATTTTTACTAAATGATTCCTTCAGTGAAATTAGCAAAAATTAATTCCAAGCAAAAATATTTTACAGTAGACAATGGAATTACGCGTGTGATAACTATAATCCTATACTATTTTCTCTTGTTGACATCAAGCAGACACAGTTTTCCATTATTTCGAGCTGTAGGCGGTAATCACAAGTGTCTGTTGATGTCACCCTAAGATAATATTAAAGGATTATATATATATTTTTAGAGATATTGCTAACTCGCATGGACTTGAAACTCTGTTGTTGTTGATAAGAATTTGATATATTATCACAATATTTTCAAAAGTATGTATTTATAAATTTAGATTATGATTATTTTTCTGTATAAATCTCTGCATCTGATTTAGTCTTATCTGCAATATATGTATAATAATTACATAATTTGGATATATAAACCTATAATTTTTATAGTCTAGTTGTGTCCATTCTTATGATTTAAATAATCAAGAAGGTTAAAGTTGGGGAGTCGTCACCTTCGCATGCGTCAGATGGCCATAGTGTGTCATTTTTTACAAACAAGCGCCTACCCATGAGCCTTTGTGTTTTAGCGTGTGTTATTGTCGCTTGGGACTCAATTCCCGTGTGTGCCCAGGTGACGACCCTCTCGCTTTAAATAAAAAAAATTGACAATGTTCTTGTTACCGATTTATTCATATTATCGATATATACCGGTAATTCTTGTTTGAGTAGTTTAGCATAGCGTAATAAATGTAGTGTATTCAGTATGGTGTATTCAGCAAATCAGTGTAGTGTAGTGTATTAAGCGTAGTGCATTCAGTGAAGTGTAATCAGCATAGTGTATTCAGCATAGTGTAATCAGTGTATACACAATAGTTTAATAAGCATAGTGTAATCAGCATAGTGTAATCAGTGTATACACAATAGTTTAATAAGCATAGTGTAATCAGCATAGTGTAATCAGTGTATACACAATAGTTTAATAAGCATAGTGTAATCAGCATAGTGTAATCAGTGTATACACAATAGTTTAATAAGCATAGTGTAATCAGCATAGTGTAATCAGTGTATACACAATAGTTTAATAAGCATAGTGTAATCAGCATAATCACAGTTACTAGTAAACGTGGCATAATGTATTCCGTCTATTAAGGGCATTAACATGGATGAAAGTTTTTGAAAAGTCAAAATGGTTTATGGTGCAATTTATTGTATCTGCCGCATGAATTTTTAAAATGAATGGCGCAGTATATATAAAATTTATTATCTATAAATCGTGAACGTATAATTTGTTTAAATTAATTTTACTCAATATTCATTTTGACATACCATGATGTTTTGGACGACTTTCGTAAGTTCTTGCGTATAATTTACAGTGCTTGTTGCTACAGCTTAACAGGAGCTGTTGATGAACGTCACATGCATATAATACGTGTGATGTTAAACGTAAGAGACAGCTAGACTACGCTATCGTTCAACCTGATTAAATTAAGATTTATTGCGCTGTCAGTCTCCGCTGCATACAGCTAGGAAATCCATCGTATTTCCTCTCTGGCTAGTTCACCTCCTATACAAGTATTGAAGTCTAAGATTGAATTTTTTTTTTCATCATAAGCTAAAACAATGGAAATTGACCACAAGATCATGAAATCATTATTGTGTTCCAATTTTCGTGGATTTTCCCAGTGTTTGTGACTTTATTAGACATTAAAATCACAATTTATATTGTAAACAAATTTTTTTCGATGGTAGCAATACAGCTAACAGTTATCCAAAATGTCTGTTAGGCACAATTGATAGAAGAAATTAAACGTACAGTACTGATATATATACCCCCGGTAAAAGTCTAATCAATCAATCAACTAATAAATAAAAGTAATATTGCCTTGGAATAGATTATTTCACTACATTACTCAGAGCCTCATAGATCTTAGTTGTAAAAGATGTCTATTCTAATATTTAGGTAAATCAAATATTTTAACAGTATTATTTTTTATGTTTGCATTATTCTGTTTATTTAAACCTGTGCTTTATTACATGCAACGCTTTCAAACATCACCATATTGCCGCCAAAATTTGTATTCAACATTTTCCATATTTGTATGTATTTTTCTATAATTTTTTTCTTAATTTTAGACTAAAATGGTCTTAATTTCTCGCAATTCATGA